TCAAGCACATGCAGCCCTTGAAAATCTGCGGCTCAAGGACCTTCTGCCTCGAGTCTCCCAAGTAAACTGGGACTACAGGTATCTGGGTTTCTCTATTTGCTTAAAATACAAAAAGAAAAAACTTTCCTTATTGTGTCTACGATTTGTTTATATTTTGAACTATTTTTGGAATATGTTGGGGCTCAGTTTTCTCCGTTTAAATTGAGGATACAGAATGTACTCCTTCATAAATTGTAGGTGAGGATTAAATGAGTACAGTAGTAATACGATAAAACAAGGCCTGCCTTTAATAACATTAAGTAATTTTATTTATATTGTTTTAAGTCAACATAAGATAATATGGTAGGAGAGTGTTCTCAGGGCTGTTACATACTGGTTATAGTGTGGTGGGAGGAAGAAGAAGAAAGAAGAGAGGGATGAAACTGGATTCTTACAAATGATAAAGTATTATTTATGGTAAGAATTAAATGAAATGTGGGAATTAACAGTCTAAGTTAGTTCTATTGATATTATAATGAATAAACTGTATAATATGTGTGGAAAAAATAAAATATTGACTTAATTATGACTAGAGTGTGGGCCATTTGTATCTTAAACTCTGCGACTTTCCAATGATGTTTTTCCTATTTCAACTATTTTAAAGAGGCCTAGTATAGCTTCCTGGCACACGATGGCTAACAAATGGCAGTATTTTCTATAATAGTTTATTTGAGAATGGCCTTAGCAGCTCCCTGTCTTTGGGCTCTCTCCAAAACACTGCAGCTTTAACGAGTCCCTCTCCACTGCACTGCATAAGTGCTGCTTGGTTTCTCTGTTTGCAGAGTTTATTGGTTCTGTGACACTAAATGTGGCCATGGTGACCTTGACGTAGGGGAGGTTATTCTGATTATTCTAGGGTGGTCCAAAGTCACCACAAAAGGGTCCCTACAAAGAGATGTGTGATGGAAAGCAGAGATTGGAGGGATGCGCCACAAGCCAAGAATGTAGGCTAGGCCATCTAGATTTCTGAAGACCAGCAGAGAGAACCTGGATGGGAAACCAAGCTAGCTGATGCTTAGAGGTCTCCCCCTCTTTGCAGCTTGGCTCGCATTGAATGTAACGCTGAAACCTCAGAGAGCTATTCACTGTGAGGCCCGCCCTCCAATACTCTCTAGGAGCTTCCTATCCCTTCGTATTCTGGCTTCCTTAATCTCTCTGGCACACTGTCACGAGGCCTACATCCATTATATCGTCGTTTCGCAAAACTTCCATCCAACTTCTCATAACGTTGATTTCTCACCGGACGATAAATTTGTTTTATAGGCGTATGGCCACTATACCAACTATCGAAATACAGGAACCCTTGGCTAAAACAACCCTGGCGGCACCATCTGCCATGTAATACATCACTTTACTAGGATGGCTGAATCAATCCTATTGTATCGCATATGTACTTAAGAAGGCTGAACTGGTATTTAGTCACGCATGTTCCATGTATATCTCTGTCTGCTCTCAACTTCCTCCTGAATAACTAAGCCATGAATCCTAATCTATATATGGCAGCCAATGAAATTGCCTTGGGAGAAACTAAGTACATCTTCAGGACTCAGAGATTCCATGCTACTCGAGAAAAAGACACTGAGGACCCGCTTTGCCATAAAATGATGCAAATAACAAAAAAAGCAGCTATATGCAGGCATCTGAATAAGGAGATCACCTTATACAAATAAGTAACGATGGGGCTAAATGAGATATAACTGACGATTTAACCTTGCCTTGAAGAATTCTTGTGGAATTTTACAGAGGTATCTTTCTATCATCATCAACCAGGAACCATTCTTTAATATTAAAAATGTAAGCATTTATATCTATATTAGTAAGTGATTAGAATATAAGTCTTTACAAATCTCTACGCATGAAACCATTACGACTTTATATCTGTTCAAGAGTTCTCCTTCTGTACATATAACTACCTAAACAGTTCTTCTAAGAAAATTATAGAAAAAAACCAGAGATATGTCCTGTTGGGAGAACAAGAGCACAGGGGTGGATCCATTTTTCCTTTCACAGTTAGCAGCTCCAAAATGAGTGAACTTCCACCGCTTGCCTGGAAAGGCAGAATGGGCCAGCGTCAGATTTCAGATCATCAGTGTAGGCATTTGACTCCGTCGTCGCTCTACTGGCTGCTGGCTGCAAATTTCTGACTCAGTTCTATCTGTAAAATTGTACTAACAAAGAGACTTTGTGGTGATTAAATTAATGAGAAATCATGTAATATTGCTTGCAAAACAACAAAACCGAACCACAGCTTAGGATTGCTGAATGCACTTAGTTCCCAAGGATTTCTAGGCTGGACTTCTTTAATTCTAAATGGTTAATTGAGTAATTCTCCTAGTCTCCCTTGTTTCATAATGTAAATGTGCTATGATTGAATATCAGTTCTGTTGCAATTTCCCCACTGCTATCATCTCAGTTATCCAATAAGGTTCTCGGTCTTATTCCTGAGAGTGACATTCCGTGCAAGTCTCTGAAGAAACCATTCATTCTAATGTGAATAAGATGGTTGCAAAACATAAATGCATTAGAAGCCGCTTTAAACCAATAAATATTGAAATAAGATTTCAAACGTCTCTGGCACGAACTATCCAATATCAGGCAGTATCAAAAATTTCAGTTTGGATCAAAGATGACAAAGTCTGCTGGAGCGTCTTCAGCGGTTTCTACTGCAGCAGACTGGTGAATTTCTGAGTACCACATGATTGTAATAGCTTCTAATACAGAATAGATAAAGAATGAAGGTCTTAACTGTCTGCTTCAGTTCAGTTTAAAAGAGATCTCTTGGAGGCTGACTACCTTGTAAATAATTTAAACAGAATAGCCGTGGGAGAAATGAACTAGATAAATCATCAGGTCAACAGAGCTGCAGTCTTCACCGTTTAGAGAACAATGATTGGCTCAATGCTCACTGAAAAAAAAGAAAAATTACCAATAACTCTGTTTATCAAACTACACGAGCCTGAACATACACCATCTGACCGTTGACATTCTGAGAGACTAACAGATATCGTGCAGACACCATGATTGAACTCTTGTGGATTAATTAGGAAACTGTATGACAGATGAAGTCCAGGCCATAAGCTAGGACTCTGTGAGACGCA